ACTTCTCAACCTTAACCATTAGACCAAAGCTTCCTCTGCATGCATGAACAAATTTATTGAACACTGCAAAAATAAAATAAAAAATTTTATATAGCTTGTGATTTATGACCTACAGTAATTATCATGTTATCTAATGGTATGATTGCAAAATTGTTAATATTACTTATAAAATTAAAAGATATACTTTTTAACCTATCCAATAGTAGATAATCTGCACATAGTTAAATTGTTAAAGAATTGTTTGGTTCACCTTAAGTAAATAAGATTTATTAGAAAGAAATTAAAAAATAGCATTATGTTATATTTCAAGGTTCTATTTTAGAAATAGTGAGGGCAAATATAAAAAATTTTAGTACATTTGGGGGAGAATAGTGGGGCTAGATAGAATACTTTTCAAAAATGAGGAGGCAAGAGTGGGGCAGTATTAAAAAACTAAACTTTTTATAATTTATTTTATAATTTTCAAAAATTGAGGGGGTCCAATTATAGCTGTAGAGTAAAATCAGCTCCATCTTCTTCTATGTGACAAAATGCTTCAAAACGTGAAGGCATATTTTCAAATTGTATATGTATAATGGAAAGAGATGGATTACATCCAACCCTAAAAACAGATGCAATTTTTCTATTTAAATTATAGAGAATGGAAATATGTGTAATAAAAAGCAAAAAAAAAAAAATTATGTTGACAAAAATATAAGCTCTTTCAAAATTTAAAAAAAAAAAGACATTTCTTGAAGAGAGGAGTTTTATATGTGAGGTCACTGGTCAGAATGCATCATAAATTCTAATAAAATCCTTTATGGGAAAAACTAGTGATCCTTAATGTAAACAATCTATTTCGGTCTAAAAAGAAGATCTTAATTTGATTGTCATTAATTTCTTTAGAGGAGAAACTGTTGTAGAGCAAGACCTGTTGGATAAAGAAGTGTAAACATTGCTCAACAAAATTGTCATCTAGTTTCTTTGAATTTTCATTCTGATCAGTTTGAACAGTTAAAATTGATCAAATTGTATGTGCAGTGAAAAGAAATGGACTACATCGAACCCTATAAAAGTGATACAATTTTTCTGTACAAATTGTAGAGAACAAAGAGTTGTGTAATAAAAATTAAAAAAAGGATTAACAAAAATATGATCTCCTTCATTAAAAAAAATATTTTCTTGAAGAGAGAATTTTGATATGTGAGGTCAAAGTCCATTATAAATTTTAATAGAAGGTCGATCTTTAATGCATTGACAGTATATACACTAGCGGGTCAAAATGCATGCAATATTTACAAAATTCGATATTTAAATATGTGTCATTTATCCAATTCCGTTAGCATATACACTATCAGTGTGGAAAAGACTAATTCATAAAGATAACTATTGCATAAGTTTTTAGATTTTTTTTCCCTTTTGGCTTGATATCCAAGGCTATTTCTAGATCCAGTGCCAACGAAAATGGGCTGCATATAACAACAATACGCAAAGTGTACAAGACAACTGTTTGAGGCAAATTTTACTTTTCTTTTGCCACTCCCTTTATCTGTTGACTAGCAGATAAATGGCCAATAAATGCCGTGCTTGCACATGGTGAGAAATTAAAATCATGCCCACGGTGACAAATAAAAAATGTGCAAAAAATCATGTCCAAGCAATGCACAAAAGTCCATTTAAAAGCAATACAATTTACGGGATTTTTTGCTGAGGCACTTTGTTTGTTAATTTATTATTTAGAAAACAAAGTAAATAACGTACTGATACAATTGTACAAGGCATCCGTTACTCGTAAATATGAATGCATTTGATTTTTGTTAAGTTAAAAAAAAAAAAGAATATAGTATGCTGCTTCTTTGTGAGTGTATTTTTAGACATGTGTGCTGTTTCTTTGGTCTCAAAATAAGATAAGATAGTAGTAAATTGCACCATGTAATTCATATGTAAAGCAAATCTCATATTTTTCATTCAAGTGAGTTTTTTGGATGTTTGTCTAAAACTTTATTATAGTTTACTGTAAAAGTTTTAAAAAAAATTTTTGAAGTAGGTAAATTTTTGAATATTTTGAAGTGTATAGTTTAAAAATTTTGAAAAGTTTTTTGAGGTTGCTATAGCCAAAGTTTTTAAAAAACTTGTATCAGACAAACTTGGCAAAAAATTCAAGTGCCAAATAGGGCCTAAGATCTCCAATTTTTGGGATCTCAACTTTAGCTACTAAATTAAGATCTCCTCAGCTGATTGTACCTAGATCTAATTTATGACACACACGAATTCCATCATTCATTTATACATGAAAGGCCTCTTAAAAGTAATACATAAAAGACCTCTTAAAACTAATACAATTTATAGAGATTTTTTGTAGGGATATTTTTTCTAATTTATTATTTGGGAAAAAAAAAGAGCAAAAAACAAAATAGAAACACAATTATATATTTTATTATAAAAAGACAATAAACTCATTAAAAAAGATTGTCGGTAAATTTTTTTTTTTTGATTATTATTATGCATTGAAATCATAGCAATAGCATTCAAATATCAAAGGAGAATAAACCCCCCGCAAAAAAAAAGAGAAAAGGATATGAATTGTTAAAAAAAAAAAAAAAAACTCCATCCAAGAGGTTAAATCCGTTAAAATAAAAATATAGATTGCACCTGTATCTATTTTTTTTTCTAGCAGAGGATAGGTGGAACTTAAAAGGCAAATAAGGGACAAGGAGATTTATACTTAGAACCCCTAATTTTTAGAATCTCAATTTTAACTACTAAACCAAGGCCTCAGCGACTGATTGCACCTCTGTTTCATTTATTTATACATGAAAGGCCTCTAAATAAAAGTAATAATCAAGATTGCAGCAGCACTACAATCATATATCAAGCTTATTTCTTTTTCCTTAATTTGAAAAAGCGAAGGCCTTAATAAAACTTCAGGAACAAAAATTAATACAAACTTGTTGCAAAGTGGGTAAAAAAATTTGTGAATAATTTTTTCTTTAACTTATTATTAAAAATCGAAAGAAAACAACTAAGTAATACAATTATATATTTTATTATAAAAAGCTCACAAAAAATTACAATTTAGACAAATAATCATGACAAAGATGCAGTAAAATGGGTAGTTAAAAATATAGCATGAATTTTTTTTCTTAATCTATTATTAGAAAAAAAAGTAGTAATCAATACAGTAACACAATTGTATATTTTATCACACAAAAAAAGAATAAACGTGCACAAAAAATTCCGCACTAAAAAAAGGATGTCTTTTTCGATTATTATTGCATAAGCAAAAATAACAAAAAAAAAGAATAAAATCCCACAAAAAATAGAAAAGGATATCAATTGTATATAAAAAAAATGAAAAAGGTATAAAAGAAAAGGAAAAATAACAACTCCATCTAGCAAGGGGAAAAACAGGATCCTATCTGTATAACAATCTAATTTGTAAGATACACGCGAATATCATAATTCATACAAAAAAAAAAAGAGAAAACATTTCAAAAGCAATGTAGCACCACAATTATATCATCATTTATGATTTACATTTACATAAAAAAGGTAAGAACTATTATTACTACCTATGAAAGGTAAATAACAGTAATAAACATAATATACTAATAGTAACAATCTGGTAAGCAACTTAACAGCAACAAAGTTTTTGGAAAAAAAAAAAAGGAAAAAGAAGGAAGCATTCCATCCAAAAAGGAAAAGTACATAATAAAGAATTTTCGCAGGCGCAATTTCTTTGGCAAACTATTTTTCAAGAAAAAGGAGAAAACTACATAATAGCACAATTGCATATTCTATTATAATAACAAAATATTATAAAAAACAATAACCTTGAGAAAAAATATTGTCGGTAAAAAAAAAATCAACATGAGATTTAAAGTTAGGATACTTAATTTCTGCACCCTTATCTTTAGTTACTAAACTAGGACGTCGTCAGCTGATTACATCTATATTTAACTCATAACACACGCGAATTCCATTATTCAATCATACCTAAAAGGTCCTTTATTAAATTCCATGATTCATCAAAGACCTCTCAAAAGTACCACAATTCATAAAGAATTTTCGCAAGAGTAATTTTTTTTGACAACTTATTATTCAGGAAAAAGGAGAAAATAACATAATGGTACAACTGAATATTCTAATAATAATAATAATAATACATTAATAATATGGCAAGCAATTTAATAGCAAGAGAATTTGGGGGAAAAAGGGGAAAAAAGAAACCGGGGAAAAAAGGAGAACAAAACCAATATAAGAAATGTAGCAGCACCACAAAAATATATATTCTAATACAAATAATACAGTACTAATAATAACAGTAATACACATAATACAAAAATAATAACATGGCAAGCAATAAAATAGCAACAGAGTTTGGGGGAACAAAGGGCAAAAAGAAGAGGAGGGAAAAAATCCAGCACCACAACAAATATAATATCACAAGAAGAAAAATAAAAAGAAGAAAACAAAAAGAACCATTCCATCCAAAAAAAGCAACTTCCAATCCACAATGCACGTGACTTGAGCATGCAGGAGGAGGATGACCACCAACTAATTTAAGGGATTTGGACATCATCTTTTTAAGTTGAATTAATCCTACCAGATATGCATTGTAGGAGACGGAAAGGAGCCCAAGTCTCTAATTTAATATACAATATTTCCCAAGGTAAAAAGTAACATAACCAAGTTCCAGCCACCCCCCCCCCCCCCCCTTCTTGTCTCTTCTTAATATTTGTTGCAAAAAAAAAAAAAAAAAGATGTTTTAATATATTAATTAATTGAGTGTATGGTTCTTTGTCGAGGAAAAAGAGAAGCAATTAAAAAGTCTGTACTACTCTGACCGAAATACAAAGAAGCAAAAGTGTATCTTGCATATAGACTTGTGCTTAGCTGACTATAAGCATCATATCAATCTGTAGCAGAACTAAAAAAAAGAATTGAGATTTTATGGCCAGCTGCATCTAGTCAACAACAAAAATGTGGACGCTCCAGAAATTGCTTTCAAGAAACTTGAATTAGACTCCTTGTGAGGAGATTGACTCTTTTTTTTGTTTTTTTTTTGGTGGAAAGGAGATTGACTCTGTTTCTGAGGAACTGGACTCTGATTCTTCTTCTTCTTCGCTGGACTCTGATTCTTCTTCTGAGGAGATTGGCTCTGTTTCTGAGGAACCGCACTCTGATTCTTCTTCTTCTTCGCTGGAACTCCGCGCATCAACACAACCTTCAATTAAGATCTTTAGAGCCTCATTTCCCATATCTCTCTGTTCTTGTTGAATTTGCTTCACTGAATTTGCAAGAGACTCGCTACATCGTTTCACCTCAATCATTTCAAGAGTCGGACATTCCCCTAAGCAAGAAGGCACCTCTTCCAACTCTGTACACCAGTGGACAACCAATTTCTCAAGCCGGGGAAAATTATCAGAAGATGCAGTCCATCTGCGAAAGTCCAACCATTCTCTCAATATCAAGACGCGGAGGCTAGGGAACTCCCCTTCTTTCATTTCCCATTCTAAGAAGGAGCAACCGACTAATTTAAGCACTTCAAGTTTGGGCAACTTTCCAATTGTTGGGATTTCACTCCATGGCTGCTTATTGTAAACGAAAGTCAACTTCTTCAAATTCAAAGGGAATTTAATTCCATATATGTCAAAGTAAAGCAGAGTAAGTGACTCTAGTTGACTCAAACAGTCAAACCAGAGAAACCCGTTGCCAATTCTGGTAGCTTCTTCTCTTGATTCCGTCATCTTACATCTTAGCCTGCGGATGTTTGGTAACTTTGTCAGTATCTTTTGCAAGCTTTGAGAGGAGGGATCAATGGCAAGGCTTAAAGTGTCTAAATGATCTAAACCTGGGTATACTTCAAGATTTTCAACAGGAAAAATAAAACCAGCATAGGAATCTGCAATCCATAGATGCCTCAATGTCTTAATGTTCCAGATAGTCTTGGGTAACAAACAATCTTCGCCGTTTCCTCGTAGCAGAAAAGTTTGTAACCTTGAGAGGTTAGCTATTGCAGCTGGGATGAAAGTTACTCCGAGAGTACGAAGGGCCAAGTATCTCAAGTGAGCAAGCAAAAATACTCCCATAGGAAAATATCCATGAAACACCAATTCCCCCAAATCCAACACTCTAAGAAGTTCAGGTAACCAAAACCCCAAATCATCCTCCTTAAACGATAACAACCTGCGTGCAATGGGTAATTCTAGCATTGACTCCCGAATCATCAAATTCCTGGCATTTCGATAGCAAATTCGGAGGGGGTTGCTTGTGCCAGTAAGAATAACATGTAGAAAGTTTTCTTCTTTGGCTATTTTCACACAAAACTCATGTACCAAATCATGAAGTCGGCAGGCTTTGGCACCACCCATGGTTCTTTGTTCAGAAACCATGACTAAACTTCTATCAACCAGATCCCTCAAATAGTCATTTGCCGCATCCTCTAAACTCTTTTCTTCAGTCTTTCGCACGAAGCCTTCAGAGATCCAGAGCCATAACAACCTTCGGACAGGAACATTTTCATCTTCTTTATATGCACCAAAGTAAAGAAGACATGGCTTCAAATCATCCGATAAATGACTGTAACTCAGCTCAAGCGTCATCATGCAGTATTCATCATCAAGGACAATACTGGAAGTTAGACTCTTTGCAACTTCTTCCCAGCAGTCTTCTGCAGTATTAGCAAGAATTCCAGCAGCGAGGACAACTGTGAGAGGTAAGCCCCTACATAATTTTGCTATTTGAAATCCAACTTTACCTAGTGTCGGAGGAAAACCTTCTTTTCCAAATACCTTTTTCTGCAGCAATTTACAACTCTCTTCGTCAGTAAGGTGGCGGAGATGGTGAGCCATGCTATCTGGTTTGAATTGCAATCGAATTCTGCTGGTGAAGAGAATCCTACTTCCATTGGCATCATCGGGTAATGCTCTCTCCAGCAAATTCCATGCCTTGATCTCCCACACATCATCCAAAAAAATGAGATACCTATTTCTCTTTAAAAGCTTGAACAGTTTGGGAGCCAAATCACTTTCATCCATCTCAAGATATTCATCAGGACTTCTAGAAGAAATACTGCATAAAAGCTGAACTAACAAACTGTGCATGCTATACACTTGAGAAACAGTACACCAAGCACGAATATAAAAGTGACTCAAAATTAATGGATCATTGTAAACTCTATTGGCCAATGTCGTCTTGCCAAGTCCAGCCATACCCACAATTGAAACAAAATCCAACAGCTTTGAACCCCTGATAAGACTATGAATAATTGCCTTTACCTCATCATCAAGACCCACCAGAACTTCATTCAACATTGGGGTGCGACATTTTGATTCAATGCGGAAAGATTTCTGGGTAGTTCTCTGAGCTCCACAGTCATGCATCGTGCTATCATAGGTTTCAAGGGCCTCAGTCCTCAAAAGCTGGATATCTCTAGCAACTCTTTCCAAATATTCATGTTTATCACCAACCACGATAGAGTCAATGACAAACTCTGCCCTGTGCGCAACCTCCATAACACGACTCCAAAGAGCTTGGAGTTTTCCATTCCGGTTGCGCTGGTCTGCTATCTTGACAAGGAAAGATCTTAAGAATATGAGATCTTCTAGGACTGTGTGGATTTGATCTTTCGGGAATGCAATTGAATCATCAGTCTCACTACAATTTTCTAGTTCCTTCAGATTTTCAAGGAGAAAATCCATAGAGCCCAACTCATTGGTCCTAGGAAAACCAAATGGCGAGAATAGTAATGTTACTGGATCAGTAACTTCTGCCCTAATAAACTTGAGCACTTTAAGCAAATGAAAAAGAGCAAGATCGGTTTCCTTGGCCAAGCCTTCTTTGATTTGATTCACAGAAAGAGAGAAAATTACAACCGCTGCATCACAGGCCACAACTCCAACAAGATTCTTCATTTCATGGCATAGCTCTTTGAACTTCTCCTGATGCCTGAGAAGGATTGTCAGGAATCTTAGCTCCTCAACAAATTTGAGCATTTGATTCATAATCGGGACTGGAGTACTAGTACAAGGTTGTAATAGCTCCGCAGTATTCTGAACGAGATAATCCATAAAGTCAGCTACTGTTTGCTTACTCTTCTCCAGAGCTGAAGTGTCTGACGATATTGATAACTTTGCAGCAGCCAAGACATGGATGTAAGTTTCTAGGACCTTGGGATCACCGGGATTAATCTTCTCACGTATTAGTCGAGATATTTGATGTTCTGTCTGTACTACATTATCTGTGTGAAAAAACCATATAGAAACCAAGTGTAATGCATTGATAGCCATCACTTCAGCGTGAATCAAGAGATCTGTCAGTTGCTGACCCTTGACACCGCGAAGCATAGCAAAGCAAATGAAACTCTTCAAGAACATTAGCTTCTCGCGTCCCAAATGGAATCTCTTCATTTTCGCCAGAGTCTTTGCAACCGAATCAATGAAATCAATAACTAGCTCTGGATCTCGCAGCCAGTAACAGTGCAGCAGATCGTTGATAACTGCTTTGAAAAACAACTTGATTGCTTCCAGGAATTTGGTGAGCTCACTTTCAACATGAGTCAAATTAATCGATCGAGAATGATCCGAGCATCCGCTCGAAGCAAATTCAAGATCTCGCATTTTCCTGATAATCAGATCTTGAATTCTGGAAGACGTAACATCCTTCTCCTCCTCATCTTGTTCCAAACAGGTTTCATGGTTCCTCCTCCTCCACAGTGTCAGATACAGATCAAAGCTTTGTAATAGTCTCACCCCGATCTTCAGCTTCCAGATAAGATAACCGCACCCTGTGGTCGTACCATGCAAGCAGCGAAGATATTCTAGAGCGAACTCGAAGCAACTAGTGCTACTGCTGCAGCTACTGCTGCAGGATATCTCCATTATTGTATCTTCTATTCACTCTGAGATCAAATTTGTATAAACATTAGTTCAAGGTTTACAACTTTCTCATGATATGAAAATGGTCAAATGTCGTCGGCAAGACACTTTAATTTTCCTGGCCTGGCCTGTGGATACATTAGGGGCCCTTTCCTGGGGCCTAAAGGGGTCAGCTTTTGTCTACTTTCGGCCGAAGTGCGTTTCCAAGTAAACGATGCCAAGTCTAGATGCTAAAGCAGTAAATGTTTCATAATACTTGCTGTTCATTTTCGATACCCACAAAAACTGTAAATAGTTATAATTTTACCAGAATGAAAACGGCGCAGTCAAAACTGCTCATATTATATTAATATCACGAACTATTTTTTTCATCAATACCATCATTATCCTTGCCAATGCAAACTCAATTAGAAGTTTGAGGGCATCTAAAATTCCAGGTAACATTTGTTAAAAATCCATACAGAAACTCACCCGACAAATCCTACCAATTTCGAGATATGATAAATTTTAACTGTGGTTCCCTTGTAAAAAGGTAAATTGATTGCTCTTTGACTACTGTATAGCAGGGCGGAAAAAGCCATAACAATTAGAGAACACAAACCGTCAAAACCTCTTTTTTTTTTTTTTTGGGCGTGCACGCTTGCTTTGTGGTCTTAGGCTACAAAATAGGAAAATCTCATTTTGGAACCAATTTCGTTAGGATACTTCAACAAGTAAGAATACAGGTGTGTATACTCTAATTTACTCTGTTTGTTGAGAGCCATGAGGATTCTATATTTAGACGAATATTCGCTAAGTAGAAACATTCTCAAGATTGCAGTACCGAAAAAAAAAAAGGAAAACTGCATAAATAGGTCTCACTATTGATTTTGGGAGTTTTTCGAAGATAAAATATTTTTTAAATTAGTCCAAAATACAATAATGGACTAGGGATTTAGTGTATTTTACCTTTGAGATCGGATTTGTACCTTGACTAAACTTAGTCAAATATTGTGGGCGAGACTCTTTCTTCTTTTCCTTGTTGCAGCTTGCAAGACTCTTGTCGTCATCTATTGGTTGGAGACTTCAGGTCTGACTATAGGGATGGCATTTTGTGGGCAACCCGCCCCTATAATAATAATGATAGTAATTAATTATAAGTATTATATAATATATATATGAGTATGTATATATAATATAATTAATGTAGAGCTGTTAAGTCAATCGAGTAGCTCGAAAGCTCGTTAGATCTCGACTCGTTAAGGCTCGAGCTCGACTCGTTAATTTTGCTTAACGAGTCGAGTTCGATCTCGAAACATGCTCGTTTAGTTAACGAGCCGAGTACTCGAGTAGCTCGTTAGAGCTCATTAATGAAGGGTATATTTGTCATTTTAGAAATGGATGAAAATGAAAAACAAGATTATTAAAGTGGAACGGAGGATGTCATCATACTATTAGAGCAGTATTAGTTATTCCCTCTTCCTATAAGACAAAGGTCATTTTTCTTTTGTGATCGTCCTAAATTATGAACTTGTTAGTTTACCAATTTATTGCCGTGCCCACATTTAATGTACATCTTCATCAATAAATATATTATTAATCATTCAAAGAGTAACAAATACATCACTAAAGCTAGTATTAGCGAAAAAATTACTTAGCAAAAAAGATTGCACAAAGCATACATTAAATTACATTTTCAATCTATATATAAAAAGAAAAGTTAGCCTTCACATATAGGTGTTCAGTGCATCCTGTCTGTATAACCAACTGGTCCATGGGCACGTATGGATGGATGTTACGTATAAACGTTAGCATACTTAAATGATTTCATGACTGTGGTGGATGCAATGGAAAAGAGACATCTTGGTGTTTGCTTTACATGACGAGATTTTTTTTTTTATGAAAAATTAGGAGCATCAGATTTATTAGATAAATGAAGTCGAGAAAAAGTGAAAAATATAGAAACGTAATTTTTTTTTTTTTTGCACATTATCAATGTATGCATGTGCAGTATTAAAATATCTTCTCTAAATAAGAGTGCAAGTAGCTCACAAAGCAATAACAAAGAGGAGGATAATGCAGAAGATTGGCATATTAACCTAGTTGCTTCCAAGAAGTCCAGAAGGAGAAAAGGCTATAACATTATTGAAATGATGCAAACACGACAAGACGCCAAGGTAAATAGGCTCTGTTTGGATTCTTCAATTTTTCAAAAACTAGTTTTTTAAATATTATAAAAATTTTTAAAAAGTACTTTAAAAAGTAGTCTAAATTTTTTTTAATATTCAAAAAATATTCCAAAATATATTTTAAAAATTCTACTACTCTTAAATATTTCGAAATATTTTCTAAAAAATCCCAAAATATACTCTAAAAACTCTGATATAGTAAAATTTTTCAAAATACTCCCAAAAATAGCTAATCCAAATGGGCACATAATGCCTTGGCCATTTACCCAGTCCACTAGTAGATATTAAGCAAAAACCCATTAGAAAAATGTATTATTTGTTTTGCTATTTACCCGAAGGAAATTCTAGCCACGTATCTCCTTTGAGGATAAGAGGATGGAATTAATTTAGTTACAAAGGGACGAGTACAAGGTACGTAGATGTTCAGTTGGACGCTTATCTTTTTTTTTTTTTTTGGTTTTTAAAAATCAAAGAACACATAAACCAGAAAAGAATTTCAAGCCTTGTCCTTTTTTTTTTTGTGGTTGAGGAGGCACTAGTCATTGTAGTATTTGCAGAAACAAAAGTCGGTACATCTGTCCATGTTGAAGACTGACGGTGCATAAAAAATATCGTATGTACATACGTTGACAATGCATAAAAACATTACCCGTAAAGAATGACACACTTTTTTGTGTGAATTTGTTCACACTTTATTTGTAAAGAAATGATTTTTGTAGCTGCAATACAGAAACTTTATCTGCATGTGGGTTGTTTCAAATCCATTTCTAAACATTTTTTCAATAGAGACACATAGCATATTTGCCCTGCATAGGTCTCCAAGGGATCCATTATTAAGGCATAAACGGTCCATAAAATTTACCATGTGAACGCCACATTCAAAACTGCTCACACTAATATCTTAAAGCATTTTTCCAAAATACCATCATCATCCTTGTCAACACCAACTTAATTTGGAGTTTAAGAGCACCTAAAATCAAGACATATAACTCTGATAAACTGTACCCATTGGAACTATAATTATTCATGTAACAGTTCTTAAAAAATTCAAATACGAACTCACTAGACAACTTAGCAATAAAATAAAATTTTAACTGTAATTTTCTTGTCAAAAGGTATCGCTAAAATCATCTTTGCGACAAGAGCTTGCCTAGTAAACTAACAATTATCTATCAAAAAAAAATTATGAAAAAAACACCGCAACTAAATCCAAGATATTATCCCGACATTGAATTTTTCAGCTGTAAATATAAAAACTGACGAAATAAAACACCCTTTAAAAAAATATTGCCCATCATCTTAAATATTTGGGAGAATTTAGGATATGGAAAACCGCAAGGATCAATATTCAAAATGGCGTGCAACTTTTCAAAAGTTCATAAAGTGGGAATAAGATTCAAAAATGGCGTGCAGCTGTTCAACCAATATTAAATGTAATAAGATTCGGCTTAAATTACATATCAAAATGTCCAGGTGGAAAAACTCATTATTGAGTTTCTACCAAAATGAATTCCTTCGCCCTTTTCCCTCAGTCACCAACTTTTAACTTATTCCAATAAACCAGATACGCATTCACAGTTAGCAAACAGACAGACACATGCACGATTACCTGAACAAAATTTCGCAGCAAGTACCGTGTAAAATTCCAAAAAACGTTACTATCAAGAACAACCGCTGAGATTCTAACCAAAAAGAGTGAAAAAAAAAAAATGGGAAGATGCATAGGATAGCAAGCCAAAATATGCAAGGAGAAATAGATCAAAATGAATAACTTTATTTCCCCTTTCTAATAATTGTTCAAAAAGAGGTCAAAGGCTTAATAAGTAATCCTTCATCCTGCAAAGTAATTTAAAATAATTCCAAAGCATGGCTTTTGCAGGATGAAAAACTGATCATCCTCATAGTTTTAGAAGTCATAACCTCATGTAGCAGCCCCTCCCTCAAAATACGAATGCTTTTGAAAATGCACAGCCCTTCCAAGACATTAAGTTCAGAAATGCACAGTCCTTTCAAGACATTAAGTTTACCACATTCAGAAACAGTTCATGCTAACAACTATAAGTATATATCTAAATGAAACTCAAGCATGTTTAGAAGACTTTAATTCCAGAAAATTCTAACACTAAATAAAAAATGCACAAAAAATAAGACTTGCAGAACATCAAAACATACAAGGAGTACGTAGCTATTGTATTAGAGTATTGCTGTGTAGATATTTACATGGCAAGAAAACCTATAAATAACCAAATTCACAAATATGAATTTAAATTTGTATCAGAACACGACAAAAAAATCTACTCAAATTGAAATTACTGAAGTAGTGGATTTCCCAACTAAAAATTAGCATCAGATTCTTACGAAATCAGCAAGGAGATAATAGTAATGTTATGCATACCTACAAGGTTGCAATTCAGGAAGAAGCCACCTATAACTCCATCAAGGTTATCTCGCCAAAATATAGCCTCTTAAATATTAGCTCAAAACCCGAAAAATGAACTAATCGGACATCATTTATCATCAAAATCCAAATGAGATGAAAATAAGATGTCCTGTGTTTTCTATTGCCTATAAACCCCAACGCAAAAGATGCTTTCGTTTGAAATCCTAGTTTCTTGCCAAACCATAAAATAAAATTCCCAAATAAAGTAAGCAAATGGCCTAAACAAAAAAGAAATCAAATGTAAAGAATAGCTTTGATGGAAAACAAATTAAAAGGGGAAGCAGCGAGAGTTGAGAGTTCTCAATAAAGAGAAATGAGAGAGAGGCTTGCAAATTTTGAGAAAAAAGGGATAGAAAATAAGTGTAATCCAATAATCAGATACCGAAAGGGTACAC